TCCGATTGAGTTATATCATCAATCTCGTTGTCTTCAAGTTGTTTGCCTTTACCTTTGTTTTTCGCTTTCGAGGACGACGATTCACCGTTGTTCTGACGTAAACGGATGTACGGGATAACATATTAGTTCGATATACTGTACTGCTACGCTTGAATTCTGTTTCTCGTTTGCAGAACTCGTTATTCTCGCAACATGAATTAACTTACTATAGTCTCTGCCATCGTAAAATCGATACTAAAGCCCTAGCTTGATCAAACGGATAATTGAGATGAGATGATGTTAATGATGATCGACACAATCAATGCAATGATTAATAATCAGTTTAGCTCCATAAATAGGTATATTATGTGCTGTACTACATGTGTCGATATCCATGATTACAGGATTAGATATGACGTACATAGTAGTACAAAAGTATTAACGTTAATTAATGTCGGCATATTATTCTATTATTATTATATCTCTTATTCTAGCAGCAAAATTTCACTTAAAGTGTAATTATAAAGTTTATTACTGTTGCATTAAAAGGTGATTACATTCGCAATTTTACTCTTTCTACATTCATGAGTCCGGGACAGTGATTGAACCAATTTTATGGGTGAGAGAGAATATGAGGAAAGAACCATGATGTCTACATCAAAAGTATCTCATAACAGCACGTTTATTGTAACATAAACGAATGTCGTAATAAAGCTGGCGGGGACGTAGCCACTCCACTCCAAAGTGGAGTTACGCCTAGTGTTTAAAAATAGGATTCCATCCAATAAAGAAATGTCAATAACTTTTACGCATTTGTCATGGTAACCAGAAAAGCTTCGATGTGTCGGGACGTCGTGCAGTATGTAGTTTTTTTCCGCATTGTAAAAAATCTCCATTTTGTTGCCTTAGCAGAAATCGTTGATATTTTCCTAATAACTTTGTTGATTGTGCTTTCTTCTATTTCGCTGTAATAACAATTAGGAAAGAATCGGGAGCAAGTTTGGGCCTATTAAATGATAATGGTAGTTTCATAGAACGGAATTCCGATGGATATAACAAATAATGGAAACCTGTCATGTAATCAGTGGATTAGAAACGGCGATATATACTGTTTTCATGGTTAGGTAAAAAGACAATTGTAGCGTCGGGAGTGTTCAGTGTCTCTCATAGAGAATAAATATTATCAACCTAGTCGAATACGCTACATATTTTTTTGCAGATTTTGCTATACAGTAACTTTCGAGGCATTTCTAGCAGCCAATCAGCGCCTTTACTTTGCCAACTGTATAATAAATTCAGTAAGAATTTATGATGCTTGTAAATTAATGAATCTAATTTTTTAACGTACAGTGCTCGTCGCGTACAATTTGTAAAGTAACACTACGGAAAAATCTACGCAAGTTAAGGGGTTTTGATAAAGAAGCGTAACAAAAAAGCGAGTCTTGTATACTGCCAGGATTCCATAATTTTGTTGGCACAAAATCTATTCGCGTCTTCGAAGCTAATCTAATATTGTTGCTTAATTTTTTGCTCTCGCGTCGACGACAGCAATAATTAACAGAACAAATGCTGGGTAATTAAAAAAAGTTTGAAGATTGAATTAGTAGCAGACTAAGTACTTAGTGGTCTGAATGAATAATAATGTGTTTATTTCTAAAAGTGATTATATAATCTATCAAAAATGTTTACAACCTTCAGTAGATTTGCACTCTCAAGTTGTGCTACAGTTTTTTATTTAATATAATGTTTACGTTTACATTTGAATTTAAAGCAATATCGATTATTACTTAATATGTGCTGGCAATCATTACAAGTGTTTAAAAACTACATCAATTAGTAATGTCAAAGTTAGAGTTTGTATTTATAATGGTAAGGTTGCAATTAGCGACAAATTACCATGTAATTTGTTGAACCGAACACCGACAAGTACGAGACCGATTTCTGCTCAAGGCAAATTAGTCGAATTATCGACCCGAATTTGGAAATGTAAACAATCTCGACTGAGAACGGCTTCTGAGAGAAGAGACAGCACAACGTAGTTGACGTCGTGTTTATGGACATTTCTGGTAATAAAAAGCCGTCGACGCGTTATTCGTCATTGTGTACAAGTATCCAATGATAATTGATGATTTGATGAGATCTTAATCACGGGACACGAAAAAAATTCATGAGCGTTAAAAAAATCCAGACGACTTTTTTTCATTGTTGGCAGATCGTATAATGACAGATCCTGCGTTTACAAATTCAGAAACTGCGGACGAGAATGGCCATGTAAAACCAGGTCGTGCGTTTACTCTTCCAGAAATAATTGACAATGAGAATGGGTGGGGCCCGTCCCCTGTAATGCTTCCTGAACAGTTCAGAGACATACCGTATGCACCATACAGTAAAGCGGATAAACTGGGCAGAATAGCTGATTGGTCAACTCCCGATCAGAGAGAGAAAGAAGCTACTGGCAGACAAAGGACTGGTCGTGGTTACCGTGGTATGTTCTTTGCGCGACTATGCTGCGATGGGGAACGATTTTTCATTGTCTAAGAATTTTAATTATCATTTAGATCATCAATACACTGCATATGGTAGCGGTGTTTCTAGTGCCTTTGCGTATACCCATGCCGAAGATGAAGCCTCGTTTTCTGTAGTCGACAATCGATCAACAGCGCAAAAGAAGGCCCAGTATCGGACTACTGGAGGTGCCAAGGTAGGGAGTAAACCTGTTTTGACACATTGTTTTCGACCCGTTGGTCATTGACGCGCGCATATTGGCAGAATCGCGGCGGTTTACGAGGACAACAGCAACGACAGCAAAGGACTAATTATAATCAAGTTCGGCTTGGTTTTGGTGGTAGACATGTAGGAGGAAAGAACACCGCTACAGCCGTACGGCGTCGCTTTGGATATAAAGATTATGACAAGGTAACCTAGAAAAAGAGATGGCGGAGTTGTTCGGGTTTACCGTTTATTGATTTCAGTATCGCTTACGAGTGGGTTTGATCACTTACACAGCCGCAACGTATTCGTGATGCGTCCGTCAACGTAAGTCCTGAATGGAAACTGCTAGAGGAGATCGAATTTAGTCGACTTTCCAAACTCAATTTAGATGTCGATGATGAGGATGACGTTGAAAATATGTGTGTAAATGACTTGAAGAGATGGTTCCCATGTGCTGCCCAAGGAATATGTGCTGAGAATGTTTGTTTTATTTCAGTTCATCCCATGGTTACTTGAATGCGTACGACAAATCGTATGATCGTATCACTACAAAGACGGAAAGGCCTCTGCGATCGACGGAAAGAGTGAGATTCTTTGTGACCACGTCGAAGGATCCTGTTATCGAACAAGTAAAGTATTTCAAACCCCATTGTTATTTCACTTGTAACAGTATAACGATCGTGCTGATAAAATTTATTTCTGACAGTTGGCCAAAAATAAAGCGGCGTCAATTTTTGCAACTGATAACATTCTTAGTGTTTTGATGTGTGCAACGAGATCGGTGTATCCGTGGGACATAGTAATCAATAAAACGGGCAACCAACTTTTCTTTGATAGACGAGATACTGGACTATATGGTAGAGAAATTTTATTAATTTTGATCGATAAATTTACGTGGGCTGACAATAATACATCTTTTACATTACAGATTTGTTCACTGTCAACGAGAATGCGGCTGACCCACCTATGGAGGGCGGCGATAAGGAGAGCATCAATTCGCCCAGTGCATTAGCTATGGAAGCAGCACTTATCAACCATTGCTTCGCTATTCAGGGATTAAACGAGGTTATAACCTATCGCCAATCAGTCACTTTTTTAAGCTGTTTTGAATGTGTTTTTGACCGAGTACATTTCGTTCTTACAGGCAGAAAAAGTAGATTTCGAAAAACCAAATCCGTTCGCTGCTTCACCCGAGGAAGTTGATGACATGGCGCCATGTGCCTATCGATACCGTAAATTTAATTTAAGCATAAAAGAAGATGAGAATGTGACTCTAATCGTTCGGACACAGCTTGATGCATTCATCAAGTCATCCAGTGGCGAGAATACGATGATCACCATTAAAGCATTGAACGAATTCGATTCTCGCGCACAAGGAGCTGCTGGTGCCTTGGATTGGCGGCAAACGTTAGACGCACAGCGCGGAGCAGTCGTTGCTACTGAAATGAAGAACAATAGCTGTAAGCTTGCTCGATGGGCCGTCCAGAGTATATTGTCTGGCGCGGATCAGATGAAGTTGGGGTAGGTCGCTAGTTTCTAATCGTTAGGATCCCCACCCTCAATTGCTAAGTGGTGCGTTCCATTTTCAGATACGTTTCACGTGCTAGTCCAAAGGACGCCAGTCGGCATGTTATCCTTGGCACGCATACATATAAACCACGCGACTTTACAGATCAAATGAATCTAGTTACGTCCAATGGATGGGGAATAGTGAGGACAATAGTTGATCTATGCATGAAACAACCGGATGGGAAGTATGTACTTTTGAAGGATCCAAATAAGGTCAGTATTGACGAAAATTTAAAGCTGGCTTATCATGTCTGACCGTCGCATAATCGTGTTTTTAACTCTCTCGTCCTCTAATCTTTGATTATTTCATAGTCTGCGATAAAATTATATGCAGTTCCACTCAATGCATTTGAAGCAGAGGAAGAGGCTGGGGATGATGCAGAGGAACTCGAAGAAGAGAATGAAAACACTCGAGAAAAGTAGAATCTATATGACCAAGCAAACTGAGTAAACTTTAACAAAAGAGAAAATACCGTTAAAGGTATTTCCAAATATATACATGAGGTTTGACTGCAATTCTCCTCACTATGAAAACAAACTATTCGACAAAATGCTTCTAGCCAGCATAATATCAATAACTGTAATAAATACTAGTTGAGTGTTAATAAATCAAAAGTCATCATATTTATACTACTATTCTAATTAATTCTATGGAAAATCACCCGTCCAACCACCCTTGTTCGCTAGTCTCTACCGAGTCCATAAATTACATGTGCGGCAAAATCTTAAATCTCCCCTTCGAAACTAGTGATACTGCGGGATGTACTTTATCTGGCAAATCTGTAAAGGCATCTGGATGCCTTGTCCCGTCAATCGAAAAAGCCATAGTTTTCCTTCTCATATCCAAGTGTACAGTGACTGTCGTTCCGTCCGATTCAAAAGCTGGTACTACATGCTGTTTACTCACCTTGTGATGATAAGACGCTCCATTACTTCCCAACATCCACGAACCGTTCTGTCCTCCAAGAAATATTTGATAATCGAGCTGTGTCTCGTTAGGGTCAGCTACACCTACCCAAGCCCATCCACAGGTTTCTTCAATAATGACATCCCATTCATACACTCTAGGACTAGAAAAACAATTTACCGCCCGGACAGATTGATGCAATGTCACGGCGGGCGGCGCAGAAACAACGGTATCACTTTCACTAAACACAAGACCATTACCGCAGAATGAACGATCCCAGCGGAATGGCGGCAATCCACGACGATCGTTACTAAACGTCTTGTTCGTCGAATGGAAACGATAAGCTTCGAGCAGTTTACGCGCGGGAAAGATATCCAACGGCTCAATGATATTGGCAATAACGTCCGGATGGAGCAAGCTCAAGTCTATGTTCTTGGCAATCGGCGTTACCAATTTTGTCATCTCGTCTTTGGATTCCGTGTATCCGGGGTCACACAATGCAGATTCAGTCAACGCTTCCTTGGGAATACTACTCTCAATGGATTCCGTAGTCGGAAGTTGCGTATCATAAAATTTCAACGCCTTGGGAGAAACTTTATTAGCCGACCACAAGACCACATATCTGACAACGCCGTATTCGGGTGTGGCAAAGAATTCATCCTTTTTGTCCAAAGTTTGAGACAATAGGACTTGCAGCGCTTCCGAATTGAGCCTGTCGTATCGAATCGAATGAAGTGGGGTCGCCGCCACACGCTTCGCAAGCAGTTTGAAGAGAGGATTATCAAATTTAGACTGCATCTTCTCTGCCGCTTCCGACAATAGCCTGGCAGCCAAATCGATATGAGAGTCTTTTAGGGTTTCCCGAACGTACAACACGATATCGTCTTTCAATGGAGTCAGTTGAAAGCAATCGGCCGCGTGGTACGTCTCGACCGCATTGTCGATTGTCAGCACGTTATCGCCAATTGCGCCCGTATACAAAAACTCTAGGATCGCTTTCATGGCAGAGATTTTTATGTTCGGGAACGATACGGTGGATGCCGGCGTGGATGTTGAGTAAAGTTGATTGTCGAGCACTTCGGACCGTGCTGCGAGGATGGAACGGATGGCTGGTAGCTCGCCATCAGAGCATACGACGCTTATGTCTGAATATTTGGCATTGTAAAGTAGATGTCGGAGATCGGCTGAGACGGAGATACCTCGCGGCATTGGAAAAAAAATTGTTCTCAAAGAAAAAAAGGAAGGAGAGATTTTTAATCAAAAATCAAGGCACAGCTGATGTACTGCATTACAACTGTATCTCGTGACTTGCCTCTTTTGTGCATTGGTATTTCAAACATGGCATGGTTATGATATTACAGAGTTGATCTCTTGCAAACTTTTTCTGTCATTCTTCGCATATGAATCTGTAAGAGGTATCCACCTTGCTTTTAAACGTCAATAGTATCTATTTAACTTTCAACTTGATAAAAATAGCACCTCGATGTTCCTATAACTCGAAGGTAAAATCAATAGTCAACACGTTCTTTGAACAATTCCATTGGCTCCTTTGGTTACACGCGATATGTCAATGCATATACTGTGTAGATCCTCCCTAGCTCCATGGTGACGCGAAGGGAGGTAGTACAGACAATTTAAACAAAGAGAAAGATAAATTATTTTTAAGAGTGTAACATTTGTTACTAAAAAACGAGTAGTTCTGTATGCCCTGAAATACACTGTTGATGATTTGTAATCAACGATTTGAGTTCTCAACACACACCTATATCGATTAGGAGTATATCCTCATTGCACTATGATTGCCAGTCGCTTTAAATAAATTCCGGAATAATTCCGCCGAAAGGAAACCGTCAGTTATAGATTAGGGGAAGCCACAGCTCCCGTCTGAAAATAGCTATTCTCAAAGTCAGTGATCACTGCAGTTGTAGATTCACAAACCTAAATAACTTTTTATTGACGCTATGGAAAATAACAAAATAATAGAATCTGCAAAAAATCTGATTAAACAAGCGCTCAAAAACAGTCGAAAGTAAGAGCAACTTAATCTATCGGCCAGATTTCCTTAATTTAATTGTGCACTACCTTTTGGTATTACATAAATCACGTGGGTAATATTCGTTAGCATAATAATAAGACGATCCATTTCGTTCTTCCCACGCAAATAATTATGACTGGTCATCACTTGTGTATAATTGTTGGCGCTAATAGGGGTTTTGGTAGAGAGATAGCCCTAACATATGCATCAACCGTAGCTGCCCAAAAAAATGTCAAATTGTCATTTGTATTAATTGGTAGAAATCTGGATCAGTTGCGATCAACCGCTCAGAGTATTGAAAATGACGACGTGCATGTGTCAACTATTGCTAATTTCGATCTTGGAGACATCGACAATCTAGATGAGAATATCGGAGCAGTATCCAGTGCGATTGAGGTAATCAAATTGGCTTTGCCATTGTCGTGTGCATGTAATCTAACAGCTGTTTCAATACAGAAATTGATAAAATCCAACACATTCACAAAATCCATTCTGATAAATAATGCCGGAACTCTTGGAGATCTATCAGTTACTGTGAAAGATTACAATTGGAAGGAAGCAAAAAGACACTTGGATGTCAACGTGACATCGTTTGTTGCGTTGTGGTAAGATTGTATAAACGTCACATTGACAACAGGATTGCCCTTCTCAGTTTTTATGCTCAGCGACATTTCTTTTTTTTCAGTTCCATGTTTCTCAAATTGATTCCGGTATCGTCAACCAACCAGAGAGTCATAGTCAACATCTCTTCCTTGTACGCCACTAGACCTTGTGCTTATTGGGGAACTTATTGCATGACGAAAGCGGCAAGAGACCAGCTTATCGGAGTGATCGCACTCGAAGAGGTAATTATGTGATGAAAACATGTAATTCGATTGCTACGCAATGCGTTGTTAAAACGTTTTTGCTCTTTTTTTTTTTATTAGGATGGCAATAATACAAAAACACTCAACTACGCGCCTGGTCCATTAGATAATGAAATGCAAGCTCTCGTGCGCAATACAATCGGAGATGATGACCAAAGGAGGCAGCTTCTGGAGGGGTTCGAAAAGGTAAATGATTAGAATGAGTTTATCGAAATATGCATGACAATGATATTCAATGTCCTATTGATAGGGTCAATTGGTGAACATGTCTGATTCAGCCAAAAAGCTTGTCAACCTTATTCTCAGCGATTCGTACAAGTCCGGATCACATGTTGATTTCTATGACATTTAAGATAATAAACATGAATTTGGTAAATGTGTCAACCAAATAACATTACAATGGGTGGTATGGGCTGTAGCTCAATGTACCCGGAGCTGGATCCTATAGTCACAGCAGAGGAGTAACGGTTTTACTTGACATCCTCAACAGAAGAATAGATACACTGATAACATACCGTTAATTCTGTTACAAGAACTATAATCAACTGACGACCAGTCCGATTGATTGGTTAATTAATTTGCAAGTATTATTGGGATACTAAAATATCAGTACGGAAGTGAGAACATAAAGTGGCTTAGATCATGGTGCGACACAAGCATGTGCATGTCGGAAGAAATTTCGGTATGTAAATGGAAGTGTCTGTATGATGGTCGTTGTCTGGATCAAAAGACAAAGAATTATTATATCGTTAACAAATCGAACAAAAGCCTCATGCTCTGATATGTCGTTTATACTACCTTCCTTAACTGTTACATGGCCGTTACTTTGAAAATTCTGCATTAGATAAACAATAATCAAAAGCAAGAAACCAAAACAAGAAAACACCAATGTAATAATAATAATAATAATACTTTTTCACCGCTGCCCCCCTTAAATTGCTCGTGACACTCTGTCACATTACTGCTCTGCTCTCCGAGTCTCCGACGACTTACACTTGTTCAAATGACACCACCGTCTGACAATGCTTTCGCGGGCGAGACAGCAAAGATAAATAGCGCTAATGAATATCTGAGAAAAAATCTTCCTTCCCATTTAAGTTTACCAAAAATAGCTATAATATGCGGTTCTGGATTAGGCGGGCTTGCGGTCAATATCACAGACAAGGTGGAACTTGCCTATGAGGAAATACCAGGGTTTGTGTCTAGTACAGGTATGGAATGGGCTATTTGGGTATTGGAGGATGAAGTATAGAGTGTGAATGAATATAGATAGAACGGGGAGATCAACTAACTTTTAGGCTTTTGATGCTTCCCTCGTACTCACTATATTCTGTACAGTTCAAGGACACGCTGGAAAACTTGTATTTGGTGTATTGGGAAAGAATCGTGTTCCTGTCGTTTGCATGGTTGGAAGATTTCATTTTTATGAGGGCTATACATTAAAGCAAGTTACATTCCCGATCCGGGTGTTTAAGCTGTTGGGCGTCGAAGTGCTCATTGGTAAGTTGTTAATCATACGTAATTGTTTAATACATAGTGACTTTTGATGAGATGAGACATGTTGGATCCAAGACAAAGTTTCTCTAGGAGCCATGATTGCAGTAATCAAATGTTTGGCATGAGATCCAAAAGAAGGATGGTAATTCCTATATCAAGGGCCACTATGTAACCTCGTTATTATACTTTTAATCGACATTTTTATTACAAATTTATAAAGTAACCGGCGCAACGGGGGCACTCAACAAACAGTTTAAAGTAGGGGACATTGCCGTTCTCTTCGATCACATTTCGCTACCATGCCTAACAGGAAGCAACCCGCTTATCGGTCCAAATCTCTCCGAGTTTGGTAAACGCTTTATACCAATTTCCGATGCTTACGATTTCACTCTTCGTCAAATGGCATTTACTGCCGCTGCCAATATGGGACTTCCCACCGGAACGTTGAAAGAAGGTACATACTGCCATGTAATTGGCCCTTCGTACGAGAGTAAGGCCGAAGCACGATTTTTGAGAGATATGGGGGGAGACATTGTTGGAATGTCTACAGTACCTGAAGTCATTGTAGCGAGACATTGTGGAATAAGGGTGTTGGGATTGAGTTTGGTCACTAATGCAGTTGTTATGGAAAGAGGACGGAGTGCTGATCCTAGTGTTATTAATAACAATGCACGTGATGAAGCGCCTGTCAGTCATGAAGAAGTGTTGGTCGCGGGTAGCGCTAGAGAAGCTGACATACAAAAATTAGTGCATGACATTGTAGACTTGATAAGTCATGATTTTTGATAGATATCTTGCATTTTAATTAACGTGGGAACTATTGAATATGCAGCAATAAAAAATGTAATTTCGTGAATGCGTGCTATCCCATGTGCTCAATACTTATGAGTATTAAATTTGCCAAGTTTATTATACCAAGGGAATCAACTCTCACTTTCGAAATACTGTACCACTGATGTTAATTCTCTCTTTAAAGTTTATGACAGCGTTGAAAATCACACAGACTAAATATCGTACAGCAACTCACACAGCGACCCCCCCAAAATTCCGCCGCTGATCTGTAGATCATTTCCAGAAATTGCCTTGCGGAATTGCCG